ACTAATTTACACTCCCACCGACAGTGCAAAAGTGTTCCTATTTCTCCACATCCTTTCCAGCATCTGTTGTCTCCAGATTTTTTAATGATCACCATTCTAACTGGCGTGAGATGGTATCTCAATGTTGTTTTGATTTGGATCTTTGAAGGGGAAATGCCACTGAACAGAAATTGAAATTCCAAGTTTGTCTTAAATGTGAATGTGAGATGATGATGTAAATACACTGCAAGGTTTGAGAACAACATGCCAAGAATTCAGCGTAAAAATTGTGCCACAGTTATTAAACTTCTTTAAATGTCCCTGACAAAACAAGCCAAAGACATATCTGAAGTGACATTTCCACAACTCTGGGGTTTTCTGCATAATAAATAAATATAGACAGATAATAGGCAGATATACAGTAAATAAATAGAATTTCAACTAATCAAAAATTGCTGATGCATGGAGAGTAAACCAATGTAAGAATTGACAGACACGATGAAGAGAATGATCAAAGTAGAAATAATAGTATTTGAAATAAGAATGTTAAAAAAATGACGTAAAAGATAGAAGCAATAAAACCACTAAAAAATGGCAAATTGGAGGGGTCTGAATTTAGAGCCAGACAATCTTGAGATTGACTGAATTTACCAATAAGTAGTTGAATAACTGGTATTTCATTTCTCTGAGTTTTAGTTTTCTCAAGGTTTATCTATCTCATGGTGTCGATTGAATTCCAAAATGTATGTAAAGTACCTAGAAAATCAGAAGTCCTCAGTGTGTATTAGTGTTTGTCCTACTTCCTGTTTACAAAGGATTAAGTTAGAAGTTGACACTTGGTGAAGATCTTCTTTTCATTTGCTATTCGAAGTACAAAGATACATTTATGGACATTATGTTTTGAAACACAGATTGCCTAATTAGTACAACTGCAAAAATTTAGTATGAAAACGTTGCCTATCAAGACATGCAGTTAACAACAGTCACATACTAGTTTTCTGTTCATGTATAGATGTGACATCTTCTTCAGTGAGGTATATAATATAGTCCAAATGCTTCCCTCAAACATGACAATTTTTAGGAGTGAAGGCAGAAATATAATACAATTTATTTTCCCTATAGCTTAAAATTATTTTTGCCATGTTTAAAATATATTCTTTTGATGTATTTATTAACATTTCATTATGTTTACAGATATTTTAGGAAAATTAATACATTTATACCATCCCATCTTTTAATCCATAAATCTGGCATGTCCCTCTCCTTTTACTTAAATTTTAAACTATTTTTTCTTCCTTAGCAAAATTTTGTGGTATTCTTTATATAAACATTTGTTTTGTTTCATTTACTTTTCTTCAGGTTGGAGTGCAGTGGTGCAATCTTGGTTTGCTACAGCTTTGACCTCGTGGGCTCACACAATCCTCCTGTCTCAGCCTCCTGAGTAGCTTGGACCATGGGCACGTGCCACAATGCCCAGATAAATTTTTTATTGTTTTTAAGAGGCAGGGGCTCATTATACTGCACAGATTGTTTTCAAACTTCTGGGTTTAAGTAATCTTCCTACCTTGGCCTCCCAAAGTTCTGGGATTACATGTGTGAGCCACTTCACATGGCCATAAATATTTCTTAAACAGTCATCCCTTATGATCTATGGGAGGTTGGTTCCAAGACCCCCATGGATATCAAAATCCATGGACACTCAATACCCTTATATAAAATGGAGAATATTTGCATATTAACTTAACTACATAATCCCAATATAATTTTAATCAGTTCTAGATTATTTATAAATTATTGTTTGAATAATGATAAAGAAACATATGTACATATTCAGTATGATGCAATTTTTCTTTTTTTTTTTTTAATACTTTGTAGTTGGTTGAATCCATGGATGTGGACCCACAGAGGTCCAACTATACAATTTATTTTTATACATTTTAGACCTTGGTTTCTATAGTGACTGACATCTTGTACATCATTAAGTATCCAGGAAAGCTTTTGATTTCCTCATATTTGTTTTACAGCCTTCATACAAAATGATATTTTTAATTTTAAGTTGGATCATTTTTGCATTTTTAAGGTAGATAATAGCATGTTCTGGAATTCTTTTTTTTTCTTTTTTTTTTTTTTTTTTTTTTTTTTTTTTTTTTTTTTTTTTTTTTTTTACAAATTATTTCTACTGTTATGCATAGAATTGACAAGAACTTTCAAAATAATGTGATATGATAAGTGGCTACCATAGGCCTTCTGGCCTTTACATGTTGATTAAATATTCTATATTTAATTTTCTAAGGATGACACTTTCTTTGTTTTTTCATTTTTTATCATTTTTCTAAGACACAGTTTGTTTATATTTCCTTTAATGTATTGAAGTATTTTTAAATTAATCCATGTGAAACCACCCTTTCCTTCCTGTATACACATTATTGGTTATGCAGTGTCATTCTTTTAAGAAAATTTTGAAAAGCATGACCTAGCATTTTGGATTACCTTAAAAGCATAATTGTATTACTGTTTACATGCATGTTACTTTGTTAGATCCGAGTTTTAAAGTTAAACTTACTGCTCCGAGAATAATGTTTGACACTTTGAAGTAATACAGCTATAACACTGTGCTAGAAACTCTGTGAAGGCAAGAGCATTTTCTGTGATAAATGAAACTCAGAAGCTTTTGGGGATATGCATGAATTAGATAAAAGCCACAACATATACAAGAGACAACATGGGTCGCATCTACCTGGGTGGCCTTTATGAATGCATAAATACCCTTCTCTCCATGATTGACTCTTTATAGACTGGTTGAGTGTTTTCATGCCCTGATACCTGACTATCTCCAGAAGGAGTGACCTAAGAAATCAAGAAATCAAGATGGAAGCTACAGTGTCTTCCATGACTTAGAAGTCACACACTATCTCTTCTACAGTATCAAGTCCTAGTGTTACCTTGTCAGTGAGATGAGATCTTCTTTGACCACTCAGTCGAAAATTATAACCTCATCACCATGTTTGTTTCTTTTCCTTCATCTTTTTTATAGATTTTCATTGCACTTATCTTCTAATGCAGCAGATGTTTAATTGTTCATTTTGTTTATGGTGATAATCTCTTCAGTAGATATAAAAGTGGACTCCTTGATAAAAGGGACTTTGTTTTATTCATTGCTGTAACCACAGTGTCTAGGAAGCTGCTGGTTCATAGTAGCAGTCAAATTGGTGTTGATCATTAGTACTTGCTCTTCTCTTGGTTGATCTCTGCTTCATTTAGGTTTTAAACTTATTGCTTATATTGTTTTTCTTTGTGTAATCTCTTTGGACTCAAATTTTCCCTTTGGCTATCTGTTTCATAGTTACACTAGTACCTTGACTCCTATAAAATTATTAATTTTGCACTAAATTTGTAGGGTTTTATAAGAAAATCTAACATGTTTTTACTAATCATCTGAGTTACAGGTAATGCTCGACTTACGACCATGACTGGTTCCGACAGACCGGTCGTAACACAATTTGGTCATAAGTTGAGTAGGCTATATGTACAGTACTGTGAAATGATGTTATAAAAATCTTTAAGTCATATTTTATCATAATTTTCTTTTATTGTTATATATCATAATTTTCTTTGTTCATTTTATGCCATTTATATCATCTCTACCCCATTTTGTTTCTTATTTTTACATTCGTCAAGGTTAAGTAAAGCACTGCATTACCAGTAAAACTGGTTTAATATTTGCAAAACATACAAAATTACAAAATACAGGTGCATACAAAAATACAAAATACAGGTGTAAAAAATACCATAGGAAACATTTTCCCAGTTGCAAAACATATCAAAATATATAAACATGTATGAAACATTTTATTGGCCGCTGGTGCTTGGCTGCGGATCGTTGATGTCATCATCTGAGGCAGCAGTTGGGGTTACCGGAGTTGGTTTTTTCATAAACATGGTGAGCTTTGTCTGAATTATATGTTTCTTTTTTTCTTCATAAATTTCACGATACGGACGAAACACATCATGCGCCATCCATTCAATCCTTTCAAATTGTTCGATGTTTGGGTCCATTGCTTCGAAATGTATAAGAAGTTTATTCAGTAAAGATAAACCGTCTGATAATCCCTTAGTGGTGAACTTGCTTTCTGGCTCCTCCTCTTCTTTCTCTGCTTCTCTTCTTTCTTCTTCCGCCACTCTTTCTTCTTCCAGTTCGATTAGCTCTTCATTTGTAAGCTCTCCGGATTCTTTGTCTAGCAACTCTTCGACATCTTCCATTTCACACTCCAAATAAAGGTCTTTAGCGAGTTTTACTATTTTTTCCCAAATCGTTTCAAGTTCATGTTCGCTGTCAAATCCGTCAAAATCATTAACATAGCACTTAACACAATTTTTCCAGATGCCATTCATGCACTTTGTCATCACAGCCTCCCAGGCGGCAGCGATATTCTTGATACACATCAAAATGTTGTAGTGTTTCCAAAAATCTACAGCAGAGCAGTCGTGGCTAATGATTGTGGTAGTAAAGTCGAATGGTCGTAAGTTGCATAGGCCGTGAATTGATCAATACCTGTACTCTCTTCTGAGCTTTCAAATAATTTCAGTTATTTTTCTAAGATTATTCTTTTAATGTGAAATGGGACCTTTAAGAGGTTTCAAGACCGAGTCTTTCGAGCTCAAATGAAGGGAGAAGGATAAGGTTCTCATATACTGTATTTTTTACTTGCCAGTTAAGAGATTCATTACCAGAGGTTTGTAGAGATAGCACCACTGCGATACAGGATTTACAACAAGATGCTTCCTTCTGCATCAAAGATTACCTTTTTGTGTTTAATATGGCAGGGATTATTTAGCAGGGGTCATTTCAAGGATACGCTGTGAGCAAGTGCAATGGACTCTAGGCACATAAGGCAAACAATAATGGGGTCCTAACAGGACTCTGGATCACACATTGCTGTCTTCGTGTTCTAATACTGAATTTGGTCTTCAACCCATTGCTGCTAGTGAATTCTTTTAAAATCTCTTTCCTTAGTTTCCAGGCAAGGTGCTCCTTTACATGCAATGGTCAGTGCAAATCATTGTTAGGTAAGGTTCCTCGTTTTGTAGAAGATTGTCTTGAAGTTTCTGTATATGACTCCTTGACTCCTATAAACTTATTTATTTTCTACTAAATTTTTAGGGTTTTATAAGAAAATCTAACTTTTTTTACTAATCATCTGAGTTACTCTCTTTTGAGCTTTCAAATAATTTTAGTTATTTTTCTAAGATTATTCTTTTTTTAATGTGAAATGGAACCTTTAAAAGGTTTGTTCTTAAGGATAATAAAACTGTTATTCTTCCATGTTTTCTAATAAGAGCACAGAATATTCTCTATTTGCACATTTAGATATTCATTTTAATATGATTGTAAGATAAAAGTTGGATGT